TTTTTTACTATTTTATTTGTGTCACTGCTAAGCTAGAAATGGTACAACTAAGAAAATAAAGAAGTAGGGGGGAGAAAAACCAGAAGGAAACTAAAAACGGGACATGTCGCCCTCTGGTGATGGAAAAATAGAACTGCAGAATGTATCTTTCGTGAGAAAAATGCTTTTTTAAATATAAATGTATTTACTTTACCTGAGAAAACAATCCTAAAGACATTCAAGAACGCATCTTAAAGGCTATTCTGTGTACCCAAGATAGTAAAGTCTTTGTGAAATGCCGATTCCAAATTGACGCTCCTCTCCTTTGTGCTGCTTTTTAAACATTTTTCATTTGATAGCTTTTCACCGTCGTCAAGTCGGGTTAGCGTGGTTTTGTTTACGTTTCACTTTTCCGAGGCGCTCCGGACAGCTTTCTATGTCCAAACTTTATTCCCCATCACATACATTAAAATGTGTCTTCCTCTAACTCCCGAGTTTTATCTTTCTGAGCGGTCCGTGAAGCTGACACGAGGTTTACGTCATCACTCTGCGACACGTCAATAGGCAGAACTTTGCATGAGCTAATAGCGTGTAATTCAGCAGAAAGGGACTGGCATATATTTCTAGACAAAATTTGGCATTTAAAAAAAAAAACTATTGCTGATATTATTAAAGGCTTAAATGTATATAAATGTAAATATTTGTGGGTAATTTGAGTCAGCAACGTCGCGGTGCGTTTAGTTCTGGCAGGTGACAAACATCTGGTCCTGTAAAACAACATCTATAGTAAACAGAGCTAAAGGTTTCGGCCTTTGTTTTGACCTAAGAGCGTTTCAAGCTCCATTTTGGACTCGACGATGAATGAAGAAGGTGAGTTCCCGCGGAGTCCCGTCCCCTGCAGCGTGTGGTTCTGGGTGATGCTGATCCCGCTGTCTGGTTGTGGTCTGGTCAGAACTGGTGGAGTACTTCAGGGGCTCAGATGAGGAAAGACCGACATGGCCTCTGCCGTGGCAGCCATCCGCACACTACTGGAGTTCCTCAAGAGAGACAAAGGTGATCACTGGAGGAGTACATTTCACAGTCACTCTACTGTTTTGTTTGTTTCCTTCTAATTCACGTGAAGCATTTTGGAATGCAAAACTGCCTTACCTTATGTAGTCTTTGAAAAAAAGACTAAATGGAATCGACATGTTCAGTTAGTTTATGCCACTTTGCTTCATTTGAACAAAATTATCATTATTTACTGTATAATGATCATTATTTTAATGGGGAACTATTGTGCAAAATTCATTCTTTGCATGTTTATGTACTTTCATTTTGGGTTTCTACTGCTTGTAAAAAAAAAACAAGTGAAGTTCTTATGAAATCCACCAGGCCTTGTTCTGGCAGGAAGTTTTGGTGTCTGGAAAATGAGCCGTTCCAAAAACCTTCAGCTAACCAAGTCACAATCTGAGGATGCTGCGATGTTGCCTGGCAACCGCAACAATTTTAGCTTCCATTGGCTTAAAGTCTGTTAAAAATATATATATTAATCACCATTTGCTAACCATGAATTAAAAAAAAAGAACATTATTAGACAGTATTTTTTTTTATTGCAGATGCAACCTTTGCTACAAAATGCTTTCATGCTACATATTGCAATTTTTTTAAACTGACTTAAACTGAATTATGTTTTTGTGTGTATTTTGTTGTATTTGTAATGTGTAAAAACAGGCTTAAATACAAAAAAAATCTGCAAAATGCCGATGTTTTTTTTTGTCCGATTAATCAATTGTCAAAATCATAGTTGGCTGCAGCTTTAATCAGGACGTGTATGTTTTGGCTCAGTCTGAATGTCTGTCCTTCCGTCCAGGTGAAACCATCTTGGGTCTGAGGGAGAGCCTGACGTGGGCCACATCCTGCCTGAAGGGAGAGGACTCCTCTGTGGCCGTGTCCTCCGGGGGAGAGCTGTTCCTGCGCTTCATAAGCCTCACATCCCTGGAGCATCAGGTGACGCGTGTTTCACGTTGTAGCGTTTGTGACGGCTGACAGCGTGAAGCAGGTTTCACGTCGCTGCGGAGTCATTTCGAGCCACGTTTTTGAGCATGCCCAAATTCAGACTTTGATTAGGCCACTTCAAAACCTTTACGTTAGTTGTAATATTTGCCAGTCGCCATTTTCTTCCAAATTGTTTTGGTGTGATTTTAAAAGGCCAATAATTCCTCGTATGGGTCACACTGATCCATGTTTTTCCAAAAATAAAAACTCTTGACCCAGATCAGTGTCTGCGCTTCAAACAGGCGTTTGTCTCCAGGACTTGTCTCGCTGTAAGAAGGTGATGGAGGAAAGAGGAGAACTGTTTCTAAGAAGATCTCCATGTCCAGGAACAAAGTCGCTAAGCTCTGTCACACCTTCATCAAAGACGGAGCTGTAAGTACTGGTCCCGTCTCCTCTCCTTGCTCTTTGCTCGCTTCACCTCGTGCCTTTCTTTCCCCTGCCAATCCTCTCAGAAAATCCTGACTCACTCGTACTCCAGAGTAGTCCTGCGGGTTCTGGAGAAAGCTGCAGCGGAGAAGAAGCGCTTCCCGTCTATGTGACCGAATCGCAGCCCGACGCCACAGGGAGAGCGAGTGAGCGAGGACGAGTTTCTTTCTCACAGGACACGAAATGATTCTGCGTTTTTCTCCTTTTGTTGAAGGCGGCAGATGGCAGAGGCCCTGAAGAGAAACTCAACGTTCCAGTAACAGTAGTGCTGGATGCAGCTGTAGGGTGAGCTACTCTGGGGTTCTGAGCTGGAGGGGGAACCGCAAATGGTTTATTTAATCATTCTTTCGTCACTGGTTGGATTTTGTTATTGGAAATCCAACTGGAAAATACATGTCTAAGATAAATAAACTCCATCAGTTCCATTATGAAAACAAAGAGAAAATAAGCTATTATTAAAAAAAAAAAAAAAAAAATGTTGCTGGTCAATCGATACAATTGTTAAAAAAGTCAAGTTAATTTTTTTAGATATCATTTTAATATCATGTTCAATAAATTTCTCAGTTATTTGTTCATCAGCCTGAGCAGGAGAAAACAAACTTACTGATGTAAAATGTTGCTTTCTTAGTGACATTTAAAGCCTCCAGCAACTCTGATATACTCTACTAACTGGAGTTTAGCTTTTGTACAACAGTATTACATGTCTTTTATTTTTGTCTGGGTTTTTTTGTTTTATTTTGGTCACAAAAGTCGCTAAATGCAGCAGCAAATTTGCTAAGTTGGTGACAGTGCGGTGCCGTCAGTCAGGACAGTGGCCGAGTTTCAGACGTTTGCAGAGATAAAATCGTTTCTCAAGTAACTATCGGCCCTTCGCCCAAAAAGAAGAAAATCTGACCTGATTTATTGATCATCACTAGATAGTAAATTTTGTTTTGGTATTTAAAATAACCGATCGGATGGTTCAGAAAGAGAACAAGCAAAAGTTGAGGAAAAATGCTTTATTTACTTTCACACCGTTTTAATGCCTGTTTTTAGAAGCTGCTTAGTTTCAGTTTTCCGTCTTCCAGGTACGTGTTGGAGAAGGTGGACCTGGTCATCGTTGGAGCAGAGGGAGTCGTTGAGAGCGGAGGGATCATCAACAAGGTGCGTTCCCTTGGCGCCCCGGGTGAAACTCAACTGGAGGATAGTTGAACACGCGTATCAGATCGGGTCTGTGTAAACACGGGGCGGGTGTACGTTTCCAACAGAATCTAGAGTGTGTGTGTGTTTTTCCCCAGATTGGCACCTATCAGATGGCTCTGTGCTCCAAGGCTCACAACAAGCCCTTCTACGTCGTTGCAGAAAGTTTTTAAATTTGTTCGTCTGTATCCGCTGAACCAACAGGACGTGCCCGATAAGTTTAAGGTGCGGCTTCCTTATTTTGTGTTTGTTTTTTTAAACAATTTTCCGTCCTTTTATCCAGATTTATTGACTCGTGCTTCCTGTCCCGCACAGTACAAAGCCGACACCCTGAAGAGCATCCGGAACCTGTCGGAGGAGCACCCGGTCATCGACTACACGCCCCCCTCCCTCATCACCCTGCTCTTCACAGACCTGGGGGTCCTCACCCCGTCGGCCGTCAGCGACGAACTCATCAAACTGTATTTATAACCGCGTCCCTTCGCTGAACATAAAACAGACGTTTATGGTCCGCCTGCTTCCTGCTTGGAGTTCGTGAGCTGTTGCTCGAAGTCTTCCTCGCTGATCTGGCCTTTTTTTTAGTTTCTTAAGGAGGCGAGTGTCTTCTAAAAGCTCCTTCATGTATTCTTCGTCCATGTCGGAGTCCTGCAGAGGCAGAACAGAAGCATGAGAACGAAACTGCAGTACTTAACGTTTATGAAGAGTATATTTTTTACAGATTTGCTGAAACTGTCACTATGAAGTGAGATCGATCTAGTCCACTTCCTCCCTGAGCTGTTATGGCCGTCTGAAGAAATGAAACGTTCCTGGTCAAAAACAAACAATCGCAGCCAGGAGGAGGGTCCTAGCGCTGCCAATCAATGTCGTGAACGCACTGCTAAATGTGCTAATGGTGGAGAAACACCTTACTGTTAAAGGAAAACTTTATCGAGTGGCCATGCTAACTAGCCTTAGCATTCATGACAGACTATGGTAGCTGGAGATTAGTAGTTTCAACAGATATGTCAAAGAAATATGTCTATATAAATATATATATATTAATAAAAGTTGCACACTGCAGCTTTAATGTTTCATTTATCCCCCAAACAGAGTTTACCTCGTCGTGTTTCCTTTTGGCGCCGCGTTTTTTCTTGCGCTCCTTCTTGGTCTTCTGCTTGGACCAGGCCTTGTTCTTGACAAAGTTCTTCTTGGGAAGCTCCGTCTTCTCTTTGTTTTTCTGCTCGGCCAGCATCTTCTGCCTCTGCTTCTGTCGGTTTTTGTCCTTGTAGCGGATGCTGTCCGTGTCCACCGTCGTCTCCACGAAGTCGGGAAACGTTTTCCCCTTCAGCTCGGGCATCTTCGGCAGGCGGAGCAGCGCGAAGCCTTTGGCCAGGGACACAAAAATCCAGATCTAACAGAAAAAGAAAAAAAACACGAGAAGGTTTCATTTTCTTTGTTTTGTTTGGGGATAATAAAAAAAAAATACATACAGTTGGCTTTGAGGATTTGTCACCTTTTACTCTGAAGATGAGGCTGCATTCGTGTTTGGCGTAAGCCTGGACGTACGACACAAAGGCCCTCATGCCTTTGTCGAACATGGCGCGGTCGGCCAGGGCCATGGCCTTCACCTTGGGCGTCACGTCCACCACGTCCTTTATAGGAGACATCTTCTGCAGCGGGCACTGGTCAGGTCACAAGCAACACTGTTAACCCAATCACTTTGCACCGATTATCAACCGGTTCTGGTTTCTTTGAGTGAACTTTAACATCACGAAATGCAACAGAAATAAAACATTTTTGCAATTGCAATTTTAAATAGACATTTGTGTATACAAAATAGAACAGGTTGAATTTGGTAATTTATTGCAAGAGATTGCAAAAATAAATACAGAAAATTTCCCATGTCCTCAAAGGGTAGCAGATCACCATTAGCAAGAGAAAAAGGGAAAAAAAACTGCTTTACTCTCACTCAGGATTTGATTTCTGAGGATTTCATATCACAGTAGCTCTGATCCTCCTCTGAGTGACTTCATGCTGAGTAATGTTAGAGCTGATAATCTGATGAGTTCTAGACAACTATTGTGAACCATCCATCATCAGATTATCAGATTATGAACGCCTGCATGGCCGATCCAAAAGGTCTTGTTGCTGACGGCTATGAACACCGCTGAAGGACCCAACTTCAGACTCACCTTCTGGTTGATGGACAAGAAGTTGACATAGGGTTCCTCCATTGGCAGCAGGAAGACGAGGGCGTTGCCATGGTTACCGATACGCGCCGTTCTCCCGCATCGATGCACAAAAGCACTGATGGAAAAAAAAGAGCAGACAGGGAAAAATGGTTGGAGCCAAGTAGTTAGAAAAGTAACATTGTTTTAATGTTTAAGCCAATAAAATAATTCATTCTGCAACATATCTATCTATCTATCTATCTATCTATCTATCTATCTATCTATCTATCTATCTATCTATCTATCTATCTATCTATCTATCTATCTATCTATCTATCTATCCATCCATCCATCCATCCATCCATCCATCCATCCATCCATCCATCCATCCATCCATCCATCCATCCATCCATCCATCCATCCATCCATCCATCATCCATCCATCCATCCATCCATCCATCCATCCATCCATCCATCCATCCATCCATCCATCCATCCATCCATCCATCCATCCATCCATCCATCCATCCATCCATCCATCCATCCATCCATCCATCCATCCATCCATCCATCCATCCATCCATCCATCCATCCATCCATCCATCCATCCATCCATCCATCCATCCATCCATCCATCCATCCATCCATCCATAAGGAATAGGGCCTTATTCCATATTGTATTGATTTAATTTTATTGGCTGCACAGTGGCGCAGTGGGTAGCGCTGTTTCCTTGCAGCAAGACAGTCTTGTGTTCGATTTCCGCCCGGGGTCTTTCTGCAGGAGTTTGCATGTTCTCCCTGTGCATGCTGGGTTCTCTCCGGGTTCTCCGGCTTCCTCCCACAGTCCAAAAACATGACTGTCAGGTTAATTGTTCTTTCAAAATTCTCCTTAGGTGTCAGTGTGTGTGTGCATGGTTGTTTGTCCTGTTTGTCTTTGTGTTGCCCTGCGACAGACTGGCGACCTGTCCAGGGTGGACCCCACCTCTTGCCCGGGACGCAGCGGAAGATAGGCGCCAGCACCTCCCGACCCCGATAGGGAGAAGGGTGCTCAGAAAATGGATGGATCGATGGATGGATGTTCTGTGTTTGTATGTGCTTACATTAGTTTTTTCTGTCTTAGTCTCTCGTTGTTACGGAGCCCCCTAGGGGACATGGGGATTTTTTTTCTTTTGCGTCCCCTCGCAAACTTTTGTGTCCCTCTCAAAATGAAAAAGTTGAGGCAGCGTTCCAGAACAAGACGAAGATGACAGTGGAGCAGACAGTGGCACTCGTGTGTGAGTTTGTGAATTTTTTATTTTGAAATTGGCCTGCAATATAAGAATATTCAGTCTCTGCTTGCCAAAAGCATGGTGTCACAACAGTATGCGACATTTGAAAAGAATACTTAGTGCACGAGGACACACTCGTCGCTACTATTTTGCTAACTTGGCAAGTCTGGTGGAATTCGTCAGAGAGAACTTCAGTCCTCTGGACAGCTTCACGAATATCGTTGGATGTATGCCAAATGCAGGCAACATGGACTTTGTGTAAGGAAGGAGGATGTCCGTCTGATCATGAGAGAATTAGATCCAGCAGAGTGTCCTCAAAACAAGCCAGACGTCTTCAAAAAGAAACTACTTCTCAAAGGGTCCGAACTTTATTTGGCACATTGACTCTTATAATAAACTGAAGCCATTTGGCTTTTGTATTAACGGAAGCATCGGTGGATTTTCACGAAGATTATCTGGCTCAATGCATACACAAGTAGTGATCCCAAGTTGGTAGGAGGGTATTACACTGAAGCTAAAGCGTTTGGGAGGGTGTTCCGAGAGTTGTTTAGAGGGGATCTTGGTACAAAAATGTTTATGTCAGAGACTTTCAGAGATTCCTCATTCCCACTCAGCCCAACGACCCTCTTGAAAGTTACCTTGAAGAAGCAAGCACTGCAAATCAAAGGATTGAATATTGGTGCGCTTTCTGCGCGTGGAGTGTATGGAGTTCTGGTTGTCCTTGTTTGCTGACATCAGAAACAATGGATTCTTTGATGGGGGATTCTGGACAAAAGCATTCTACAGTTTTGCTGCATGGGACTCATACAGGTGAGTTAACTGAATCAAATGTAATATTTATATGATGGATGATACTTTGGAAGAAGAAAGCTTGAAAGGCATGGACATTAAAATCAACATTAATGGTATCTGGTTATTTGTGGCGTTCACTGTCTAGTATTTTGTTCGTACAATACTTGAATGTCAAGCGAACGCTCAATTTTGTGACGTAGGTGCATACTTTTATCACACTGAAAATTGGAAATAACGCACGACGGTGGCACACCCATAAACGAAAGTGATATGTTTCTACAAGAGAAGTAGATGTCTTTGTGTTTATATGTGTAAATTATAATATCATGAAACAAAGCGATTCTCCAGTTGTTCTTTCGTGGTCACTGTTCACACATCTGTGGTGCTGAAAATGCACTGGTTACTTTTTCTACCTTAATGTCATAACACGAAAGAGCAGGTTACTTGCTGTTATAGTGTGAGATTTTACACTACAGCAGCAACAAGGAGCATTTTGACAGCTGCATTTAAACCTCTATTATAATGAAGATACATTCAATTTCATTGGCTATCATTTTTTAAAACCAAATCAAAAGTGAACGAATTTTAACCCAATAGCAGGCGTTTAAATATGCATTAAGTTTCTACTGTGTCAAAAGTCAAACTGTTACAAGATACCAAAGTAATCTTTAAAATCAATTCATCTAAGAAATGTCACAATGTATTTCTATAACTCGGTAACAACTGTAATTGTATGAATGACAGTTCTAAACAGCAAGTCTGAAAGTACTTTATAGGAGCTGTTTCTCTTTTCTTAGTTTAAATCTTATTTAGATTTAGTTAATTTTTATTTCTTCCTTATTTTCTAGTTGATTTATAATTAAAATTTTTGTTCAGTTTATTTAAAATAAGTTTGCTGGTTCATTTAAGTTAATTAATTAAATTTTGGGACATGGGTGTTACACAGTACAGATTTGAACTAGCACATTATGCACGTGGGTGGTCAAAAGGTTTTTTACCAGTCTATTCAGTTAGTCATCAGTCAGTCTATCCAATCGGTCAGCCAGTTCATAAAAACAACAGGTGTAGGAATCAGACTGAAAGAATAGTGGAATCCTGTGAGGCCTGTTACTTGTTTTGTCTGAATAGTGGAATAAAACAAGAACTGCATTTTGACCTTTTGTAGAATCCATGATGCACCATTTGCACTATTTGAGTTGAATTCACCTTTTAGTCTTCGTTTTGTTACTTTTGAATTTGAGTTTTGGACAAATAGTCAGTACAACCTAAATAAACATTATTTTGTATTATGACATAAAACAGTGACTATGCCTAATCCTTTTTATAGCTGAGGTTAACAAAATGTACTCAATTTTTTCTGTTTTATGTTACAGGATGAGCTGGATGACACAGCACAACTATGGAATACACACCACATCAGGCCATCTAAAACTTGCACGTTCCCAGCGGTCGGCCCAATGTGATGTATGCCCTACCTGAACTGTACAGAACTACAGACTTCCTCACTCCTTTTGAAGTAGAACAGATTCAACTGTGTAGAGATGCATGCACTTTTCGGCATACCATACCATGTGATTCTGCTGTGTATGACATTTGCAATGTTTTTAATGGCAGAATATGGTCTAATGACACCATCAGATCCATATGATTCTGTGAAACTGTACATGTTACTGAGAGATGCCATTAGAGGATTACTGTGAGTATTGACTGGAAAGAGCCTGCCATGTTAGGGTTCCAAAAATAGAAATATGAAATACAGCGGTCCTAATTTGAACCTCAGGCTGATCCCCTGCCTAAAGGAACCTCAGACTGAAAATCTTTTGCCTCCAAGTCACTTAAAATAGCACTTTTAAATACCAGATCACTCTGTGCTAAAGCTCTATTAATTAATGATTTCATCACTGAGTATAATGTTGATGTTATGTTTCTGACAGAAACATGGTTGAATGACGATAATGACCAAATTGTACTCATTGAATCAGCGCCTCCTGACTACAATTTTTTAAGTGAGAATAGAAAACATAAAAAAGGAGGAGGCGTGGATTCTATATTTAAAAATACCATAAACTGTAGTAAATCTCTTTCGGTCATTTCACATCTTTTGAGTATCTTGGAATTCAGGTTAAAGGCTTCAAACGAACTTTGACACTAACTTTATACAAAACTCCAGCATATGTGGAAATTTCTTGACTGACTTGAATGATCTTTTTATCTCTCATATGCATTGATTTTGATTGTTTAATAATTGTTGGTGATTTTAACATTCATGTGGACAAACCCGAAACAGAGGAGCAAAAAAGCTCTCTGATATTTTAGAAAATTTTGGTTTAACACAACATGTCAACAAGCAACACACACTCCAGGACACACACTGGACCTGGTTATCAGTAAGGGTGTGACTATTTCCAATGTCTCTGTAACTGATGTCGCCCTGTCGGATCACTTTGCTGTTATCTTGAAGGTTCTTTATTCTTTGACCCACTTGGACAAACAGCTACTGTCACAAACGTTCTTTCACAGAAAACACAACAGAAACATTTAATCAAATCTATTCTTCCTCCTCACCCTTAAGCTGTAATGATGTAGATCAGTTGTTAGATGATTTTCAGTCTAAAGTCTCATATATCATTAATTCCATTGCCCCCATTTAAAGTAAAGGTTTTGACTGGTAGAAAGAAATCTCCATGGAGAAATGCACAAATAGTTCGGTCTGCAAGACAAGTCTGCCGCAGGGCAGAACGATAATGGCGTAAAACTCAACTTCATGTTCATCATGACATCTACAAAGAAAAACTACGTAACTATCACTTAACACTAAAACATGCAAGGGAGGCTTTCTTTGCAGATGTCATAACAAAAACATCAATAATGCTCGAACTTTATTTGCAACAGTTGACAGGCTCACAAACCCTCCTGTGACGTTACCACATGAACTCCAATCTAATGCTGCCTGGAACAGGTTTTCCAGCTTCTTTTCAGAGAAAATCCAAAAAATCAGAGGATTAATCTGCACATCAACTTCAAAGCCAGAACCATTGCTGTACCAAAACAAAACAAATACAGAAAAAATGAC